TAGACGCGACGCACAAGCGACCCAAAACGCGACGCACAAGCGACCCACAACGCGCTACACAAGCGACCCCCCGCCCTTCAATATTACTATAATTGAGTTCAATATCTCCTTCAAAAAGGACCATGACCACGCGTGTTCGCTTTTGTGTCAATATTTAGTTGATTTTAGTTGGGCCTTGCAGGAGTGCTAAGATGGTGTCCACCTCCCAGCTAAGCAGTGAGCAAAAGCGATTGAACACTTGCTGGAAACGCCCACCGACTTGCATTCAACCCCAACTAGCATTGGTCAAAAGGCAAAAGGCTTTGTGTACCCAACCCTTTAGAGTTCGTCTCCTCAACCCAGCTGCAACCCGAAAAGCTGTGCCTGGCACCCACCAAAAAGGTGCTGAGCACGATGAAGAGCAGGGCCTCCACCAGAATTGCACACTCCGAGCTGTGTTCAAGGCTTCTTGCGCGGTCCTACACCCTTGTATCTCCCTCCAACGTCGATTTGAAAAGGGAAGCCAAGGCCAAACAAGACAAATGGGACTGGAATCTAGTATGAACCGTGAAGCCACCCCAATGTCGGTATACACTACATGGAGTGTCTGGGAATGGAACAATCGATTGGACAGCTTAAAACGATCGATCTTGGGACTGTGGGACCACAAATCAGGATCCACTGCCGGCTCCCGAGGTTCTATTCTCTGAAGTGATTCAAGGGTCACGCACCAGCACCAGGAAAAACGATTCAACAACATACATCATCTTCAAATCGCACATGTCATATGCAGGCGCAAGCTGCAGCTTCCGTTTCCTTCCACCAGCTGTCCACCGCCTCTGGCGGCTGCACTGTTCTCCATGTGTTTCGTGTTCGAAGCGCCTCACGGTCATAGAACCTCTGCGCGTCGAGGTATTCCTCTTTGGTGACCCACCTGAGACCGGACCGTCCCACGATGATGAGTCCGACAAGATGAGATGAATGGGATTGACCCAGAAGGGGAAAACGACCCAACACGAGCCTGGGGAAAAAAAAAACACAACAACAGCAGCAACAACAACAACATGTCCCAGAAGGGGAAGACGACCCGGTCAAATCCAACAAAAACCTGATCCGAAAGGTTTGGGGGTATACTGCATGGATGCATCATGCCAGCAGTCAGCTGCCAGTCCCAGACAGTTGACATGGTGTCTTGGCCCGTCGAAACGGCGGTGGTGTTCATCGACGGTCTAACCCTCGTCCGTCGCTCCGTCAAAATCTGGATCCGACAGACTGTGGAGATGCGTCGTACGACGCGTGGAGGGCTCCAACGACTTCATCGGAGATAGGCATTAGGTCCAATCCTCCCTGGCTCGTCAAGGTGACCTATTGATCCCCTGGTTTGAGGTCACTTAGGCATGGAAAAGGTCATCTATAGGGATCCCAAAAAGGTCGCAAACCTTCAAGAAGCGATCGATTCTTCTTACGCGTCAGGTACCATGTCTTCAAGTTTGCACTCGATGACACAACAAAAAGGTACCACAAAGTTGCGGCTCACCATGGCATCAACGGAAACCCATCCAACGCAGGTCACCGCGTCTCCGGACAGAACGCAGGGGTTGGTGACCTGAGAATCTTGGGCAATCCAGACATATCCAGCCCTAGGGATCCAAGTACCTTCTCAGAAGGCACTTGGACCCTCCAAACCCACCCCAAACACCTTCTGAGAAGGTACTTGGATCCCTAGGGCAGACCAAAACCCCAAAAAACCTTCCACCTCCGACGAAAAAGGCCACGTGGATCGGAGATGACCCGAGCATAAAAAGGATCACGAGGAGCTCACGCATGCGAACAGAGCTGCGCTCGCCCCAGGGGTTTGCGCATCTTGAGGAACCAGAGGAACTCTTTTTTCACACACTTTGCGCAAAAAACGAAGAACTCACCGGGCGCCGACGTTCGCTGCCTCATTCTTCGCAGGGGAAAACTCACTACGAGTCCGCCATGTGGAACCCAGAACTCCACTCCGGAAGAAGTGCGATACGCGACACTTGTGTTCCGTCTGAGGGTTCTACAGGTCAGTGACCTCCATGTACTGTATTTGAACCTGGAAGAAGTTCCAAACCCTTCCCAAAGACCAAGGTAGTTGAAAGCCTAGAGGCCTTAGGGATACTGACTCAATCTCTGTTAGCGGTGGTTTATGGACACCCCTTGATCTCTAAGGAGCTTTTATTAGACACCCCTTAGAGGGATCCAATGTCAACTTCTACAGGTATATACTTCTGATGTGTAGGTCTCAATGGAATAAGAACTATAGCTATAGGATCTATCTGATGATTGCTGAGGGAAGCATTCTTGGGGTGCCAGGTGCACTTGGTAAAGCACTGAACAACACATCGTCGCAGTGCCAAACCACTCGTATCCCCCCAAAGAAGAAGAATTCCATCATGGAGAGATCATCCTCCCAACTTGGCCCTACCCTTGGATTTGCTGTCCAGGAGCCATGGAAAAAAATAAACATGTCAATTGGTCCATGCCAGGGGATTCGCCATCCGACACCCCACCCCATCCGGGTTCGACCATCACTATCACCCTTTCTCATCCGACGACTCACCAGGAAGACCGACACCGATGCGATTTGGTTGGTCTGGACACCTGTTGAAGCACCGGGTTCGGGTGGTCTTCGCTGCCCACGACCGGTCGTCTCGGTCTTCTCCGTCCGGACGGGTCCCACAGGGCCGGGCGAAAGGGAGGCGGCAGCGGAGTGCGGCGACGTCAGCACAGCTGCGTCGATCTCGCGACGTCTACCCCGGTCTAGCGACGGGCGATGACTTCTTGATTCAAACATGAAAGGAACATTGTGTATATAGACTCAACTCCCTTCAAATGCAGGATCTGGATGGATTTGGTACAAGAGTGCACCAGAACTGGAACATCTCAAATGCCACCACATGATGCCAAATCAGTGTCATTACTTGCTCAGAAGGAAGCACTGAAATTCAGGAGGTAGTTCTTACAAGAGTTGGAACTTAAAGGGGGGAAACCGGAAACTTTGGTTGGGTTTCTTTGACAGAACATTGCAAGTTCAACGTCCAGACATGCCAACAGCCTGGTCTTTGTGGCCTAATCCGATTTCCGCGTGTTTTGCTTCGCTTCACGCCTGCCCAAGAGAAGCTATCACCCTCCGGAAAAACGTTCTCCCACCCAGATCAAGTAGGAAAACACGTCGTTTTATTTGCCTTTCTCCCAAGAAGTTCGCTCGCCGTGGATATCTAGGTAACGATCAGCGTGGCCCTCTGAAGAGCCACAGCAGCTCAGTCCCGATCAGCGCCGATGGCTTCGGCCGATCGGGCGAGCTCTTTTGTGTCGCTGGTCGAGTTGCGTTAATTGTTTTATTTGTTTTTCTTTGGGGTGGTCCCGGGGAGATGTTCGTGCCCCAAAAACCGTGCTGGTCACATGTATGCGAAGATGTGACCCAAAAGTTTAGACTGAGAGGTAACCAGTACGTTCCATTGACAAATAAAAGCTATATACAGTAATTCCCTAGGGATCCAGGTACCTTCTCAGAAGGTGATTGCAAACACTGTTATGTAGGTGCCAGGAGGGTCCAGTCGTACCAAACCTGAGGTTCGGTACGACTGGATCCCTAGGGCTTAGAAACATCAGGACACCCTGGTTCCTTACGACTCGTGGCTGCCTAGGATTCGAAGAGCGAAGAACACGAGCGAATGGAAGCATGGAGCACGAGCAAAACTTATTCATCCCGAAAGCTGCAAACGTTCTGAATGAAAAAGGGGTTGAGGAGGTCAATGGGTTTCAAAAGAAGGCATGAACAATGTTCAAACGCCCATGAAAGTCATAATGATGTGGACAACATATATATTGTAAACTATATATAATTATATATACCACATGCACCACCAGGTACTATACCACATTAATTATATGTTTCTTTGACTTTTGGTTCTACAGTGCATCATACACTAAGATCATCTGTCAGTATCATGTTTCAATACTTGCACCAAAACCTCCGTTCATTTGTTTCCTTGCAATGTGGGACGCCTTAAGATCCCAGTTGTTTTATGTTGTCTTGTCATTGTAGGACGCTTCTAGGCAGGACACTCAAAGGACCTCTGCCTCATTGATGTCCCGAGGGTGTACCGGCCGATGGCCGATCCACATCCAATATCTGCAAATATGCCAAAAGCAGGAGTGCCATCGGTGCACCTTTGTGTTACCTTTGTGCTAAAGGTATGACTATACATGTCTGGGAATCCGTTGATGTGTGAGTGACTTCATGGCATTTTTCGACCAATTGTCTATCCAGTAAGCGAAATCACAAGCGCGGCGACCCTCTCACATACTCCTGCGAGGCGGTATGAGTATGAGAGTTCACCCGTCTCGGTTTCAACCTCCAAAGACCCCCAAATTCACAAAGCTCTCAGATGAAAGGGGTGCAACATGGTGCGATTATGTATATACACATCGGGAATTCATACACATCTACAAATGCATCGCGTTGGTCCAAACAACAATGGGGTTTTGCAATACCCTTCATTCCTGTCATTACAAAAGAATGTTGTTGATGAAAAAGGTCCATTCAGCGCGTGTCCATCTGTGTCTGAGGTCCAGTTTGTGTCTGAGGTCCAGACTCTCAACATTTGGTACTTGCGAAGTGCTAACCCGAAATCTAACGATATGATATTCTTCTCGGGTATTACTGTTTTGGTAAGTAATAAGTGACTTTTTGAGAATCTGGTGAACAAACAATGGGCGAACCTCAAACCCGTACCAAACCCTACCTCGGGTTTGGGAACAACATGGAAGCATCAGCAGCCTGTACGTACCATACTGGTTCTAACCCGTATGTCTTTTTTTCTTTTTTGCTTGTTTTAGTTCATTTTTCCTGGATGTTCTTATGTTTGTATGCACACTTAAAACTACAAAGCTGTTTGTTGCTTTTTGCATGGGAAACAATGCTGAGAAATCAGCTGCACTGTGTCCTCAAGTCATGATCTACTGTGGGCGGAATGGTGGGACAGGTTAAGAAAGGGGTCAGTGAAACATCCTGGTCCTGACACATGTTCAAAGAACATTGGGCTTACAACGAAGATATCGGGTCTTTCACTGACACCCTTTTGAACACCAGTTCTTGTTGCTAAAGGGTATAGGTGTCCCACGAGAAAGTCGCGAACATCAGATGTGTCTCGTTACACTCACTGATTCGAGAGGGTGTCATATGTTATACACAAATACTCGATTACAAAGCCTTCAAAAGGATCCAGGTCCTTACAAACAAACGTCTCTTCCGAAGAACCCGGAGTTTGGAGTCCAAGTCAGCTCTAGAGGTGTCAAACGAACCTGGACGACTGTGCCTGATGGCCCCTGCACAGTGACCCGTACGGAGATGTGTGTGAGACCGACACTCAGTGCGAGCGCCGCTCTCGGGGTCCAGGTTCGGTAGCGAACCGGGTCAGTTCGGTACGAGGGGTATAGGGGACTCGGGTCCCACGAGACGGCGTCGATGAGAGCCTTCGAAGGGTCCGTGCTTTCGCTCGCTTCATGACCACCAGCTGAAGAGCTTCCTCAGCCATCAACAGGCTGAAAAGGCATGTTTTGGCAACAAAAACAGGGCCAGTATGGATGGCAGGACAGCCATACAAAGCTGAGCCCACCGGTCTCCACATTCGGGCGACCTGCTGAGTGCAGAGTCATCCAGGGATGGAAACCCTTGAGCTTAGTTCTGGGCGCGCAGGTGGAAAAAGTGGAAGAATATAACTGTTCCTCTTGAGAACAGTTTGCAGAAACCAACGAAAAGGGAACAAACACAAACTTCAAAAGCTGCCATGATCTTCTGTAGGCCAAGAAAGGCTACGTGATGGTGCGTCTCAGTGTTTACATCACTTCAAATAGGTCAATCTCCATGTTTTCTCCGACGTTTTGCTGGTCAATCGAAACAAGTCACGGGTACCAACTCATCGTCTCTCCAAGAGGCCGGGCCCCCACCGGCCCTTGCGGACTGTGCTCCGCTCCAATCCTTTAAATGTTAAAGACCTTCAGTTCGTGACCTCTTTGGAGTCTGTATGTAAGTGACCGACCCGCCAGAGGGACGCGATCTCAAGACCGACCCGCCACTGGGATCTCAAGTCCGGTCACGAACTGAAGCTCCTGCTAGCAAACCTCATTATTAGGACGTTTACAGGTCCAGCCGGACGTCCGGTAGAACGCTTGGAGCTCCTTACCAAACGGGATGTGGGCCAGGAGCCCAAGGTAGGGGCTCACAGTGGAAGACTGGACGTTCTCCGAAACGGGTCTTTCAGTGTGAACCATGCCTGTTCAGGAAGGTCGGACCAGCCCGAAACCAGCCGGATTGAACTAAACATACCCAGGGGATCCAGTCGTACCTTCTCAAAAGGTGATTGGAGGCATTGTTATGTAGGTGCCAAGAGGGTCCAGTCGTACCTTCTGAGAAGGTACGACTGGATCCCTAGGGATAGTTTGAAGATGTCAACAAACAGAACTCGAACACACCAAACATCAACTATAACAATTACCAGCACCGCCCAAAGGGTGGTTACTAGGGTGGTTTAGAGATCCCCCTGAAGATGTATGTTACATCTATTAACCACCCTTTGGGTGGTGCTGGTATGTCACATTATGCATTTTTTGTTCACTAAATATGCCTGGAACTGTGCTTGGCATGCAGATTGGCAAGCCAGTCAGTCTAGTCCCGTCAAGCGTCAAAATGCCCAGCAAACAACAATTGTCCGCACTGTAAATGGCCTGGGCAAACCGATGAATTTCGTCGGTCGAAAGCGGAGCGGAATTTCGGTCGGAGGGGTGGAAAATCAACATGGGCGAAGAAAACAACGAGAAATCATCCCCAGACATGACTAATGGAACTACCATATTTGCATACATTGGGGTGATTGAAAAGAGTCAATGTAGGCATATATGTTCATAAATGGAGTGTATGGACTCTTCATTTACTATCCCAAATGTCAAGCTGGGGCACCTTTTGGTCTTTGGTCCGTTCTCGGCGTCTCACGGAACACCCGCTTGTTTCGGCCAAGAACGATATGACTGCAGTGGAGAAGATATCGACATCCTAAACAATAGGGCTGCATCTTACCGTCATGAAAGAGCCAAGTCAATTGGCCTCAACATGAGGTTTAAAGTCGTAGCATGTCGTAGCCATACTCGCCAGATCATAATTATATATAGAAACATCATCGCACGAACAATCCTCTGCTCAAGATGGCCACTCATCGTCGGTGGCAACTGATCTCAAATCACTCAGCAAATTGGTTCTTGCTTCCGAAACGCTTCAGTTGAAATTTGGACGCGATGATTAAACCGATGATTCTTTGCAACCAAATTCAGGACCAGAAGACAAGAGCCCTGTAAGATCAACAAAAACAAACAACACCATGTCTAGCACCACACCGTGTTGGGAAGTGGGCTTGCAACCTTCTCCTCACGAAAAACGCTTCGTCCGAAAAAAGAGCTGCGAACACATCGCAGCGGCTTCGGTCAAGGGGCTTCGGTGGCCAACAAAGCTTTAGCCATGGTTCGGCTAGAGACCGCTGCTGCAGCATGACCTGAGCCATTTCGGCGGATGTCGGTCGCGAAGACACATTGGAGCGGACTTTGCGTTCGATTGTAGCTGGAATCGGTGTGGGCCAGAAAATCCCTATACAACACATGAATCAAGCTAAAGCAGCACCACCCTCTTTGGGTGGTGCTGGAACGCACTTGTAGAATCATTAGACGCTTAAATAATTGTCTGTACCAGTATCTGAAGCATCATGAAGGGCTCTGCTCTGGCATGTGGTGGTGTTGTCTTTCAATCGCAGTCTTGGGTAGTGAACCAAAACCAAAAGGATTTGCCTCAAAACAATGGGGTGCTTCATCAGCATCCTTGACCACCTGATTAGTCAACCCTGATCAAGAAAGGAAGAAGTGCGCAGGACAGTCATGTCAAAAGTGGAGAAATGCCCGCTTCTTCCACCGTCATGCACCAACGGGAAAGACATGGAAAAACCATGAATTTGTCTCTCAGATTCAGGTGCATTTGAGAAGGAAAAGTCATGAAAACAAACGATTTCGATCATCTTGCCCTGAAAGTCCCAGCCCCCGAAAAAATACAGTTGGGGACCTGGAGGGTGTTGGCTCAAGGATTCTTGGGGTGGTACAATTAAGCTCTTTTGCTGTGAACTAAAGGCTTCAGCGTCCGCTGCCTGTTGTCTCATGCCAAAATAATGCGTTCTTCCTGTGCGAAGAAGAAAACTTCACACCTTTTGTCACCCCCGCCGGCTGCAACGGCGCCGAGGGCATCAATCGTGCCTTTTCTCGTGCTGCTGGCCGAGGGGCGTAAATCACGGTGGAAGGTAAAGCCAAAAGACTCATCCTGAGTCGAAGCAATGTGTCATTTTCACTTTAGTTCCAAGGGAAGAGAGTCGTTGTTTTTACAAATTAGGTCAATTTGGTGTCACTATGCTTCACTCGTCTGCACGTTCTTGGTCTTGGACGACCCGAACAGCATCCTTGCGGGACTTTAGAATCACCGCACTGCAAACACTCAAAAAACAAGTTCAACCAGCCTGGTCATACTGTATATAAACAAGTTCAACCAGCCTGGTGATAAAAACAACTGCAAACACTCAACCGTAGTCCCATGGAGCTCGTGTCTGGGGAATGATGATGTGTTCCTGTTGAAGACCACATGACTCAAAAGGCACGAGAAGGCTGCAGACTGGGAATGCACAACCACAAGGACCGCATTCAAACGAGTTTCCATGTCCATCCCTTGGGGTAGTCAGTACCCAAACCCCTATTCTGTTAATTAATCCTCCTCAGTAGACCCTATTATAGATGTTCACAGCTGCAACTAAGTAGATCTATGAGTGTTCACTACTTCTTCAGGCTGGTTGATACTTGTTTTTTCTTTTTTTTTGACACCTTGACTCCCCCAACAAAAACACCACCACCACCACCACGACACTTCCACCACGACCTCGCGTTCTTCTCGCTCCCAGGCACCAGCTGCAGGAGGAACTCCGGCTCTCCGGAGAGCGCCGTGGTGCCAACAGACAAACTGTCCTCGTCCTTGGCGAGCCAGCGGCCGGTGCGACGACCCGGTGCGGGGGAGAGTGGGGAGACCCCGAGCTCGTTCGGTGCGACTCGGATGGTATTTGGTTCATCTGTTTTGAAAGGCGAACGGCAGTTTTCAATGGAATTGGTGGTGCTTGTTGTTGTGTCCCCAATAGACCATCTGACACTATTTAGTGGGTTTCCATTTCACACAGCATGCTCCGGGATGCTCCGGGCATGTATGGTCCAGTGCATCGAGTCATCATGATTCATGACAGCGAGTCATGTAATGGCCCTCCGGATAATAGGTAACGCATGATGGTCCCCAATTCCATCCAATTCCCATACTCTTGAACCGCACTCCCGTGGTTCCCTCACCTCCTGGACCATCGCACGTCACGAATCCGTTCCGGGGACGACACGAAGCGCAGCGACGGGATGGCTGCGCATTGGTGGCGAATGGCGGCATGCCAAGGCGCATGGAGAGCAACCTCAAAGAAGACTTTGTTACCCAGCTTCTCCTGCAGATGTTCAACCCTCCTCTCTGGTGCCGGAAGTTCAAAAACAGTGCCTACAAAGCCCCTGATTCCCAACGACGCAAACGGCGGCAGGTCTTCTTCCAAACTGTCCTGACAGAGGCTATCTGCTCAAAACGTCCTGGAAATGTCCACCTATACTCTTATTAGACTCCCAGCCTCCCATTGGAGGGAAAGGTAGAAAGGCGTGGCCCCTTAACATCATTTCAACATGTGTCAACATTTCTTGACCGGTAGTGCAAGCCACAGCCTGCACTTGATATCGATTTGTGAAGGACAATATCGATGTGTCGCAGCATTCAGTCACGATTGACCATGTTCCTCTACTATGAAGCTGGATTGCTGCGCCCATGGAAGCTTCATTCCATATACTGACTGTTCATTTTGCCACTCCTTCCGAAGACGAGGATGCCAACTTCCAGCCCGGATTTGGATTGATCAGTCTACCTTTCCCTCCAATGGGAGGCTGGGAGTCTAATGGGAGCCTGGGAGGCTGGGAGGCCACGCCTTTGATAGGGGACACGCGTGGCTTCGCCCTTCACCCCCTCAAAAGTCGGGAGCTTGGCTTTCGTGCACTCCTGAGGAGTCTTGATCGTCCTCACGGAATGGTTCTTTCAACGAAGAACTGAAGACCACGCCCCCCGATCCCACTCGCCCCAAAAGGACCTCAGGTGGTTGGGGGTGGGTGGTTGCCAGGGGGGTGACCTACCTGAGGTTGTGGTCCAGGAGAGACTGAAGAAACAGGACACACACGATGTGGGGACACTCCCAGCCAGCTCCACCGGCCCGGGCCCGCGTGGTCGTCTCGACCACGCGACCACGCACGGCGGGACCTGAACTTGTGCCGGAAAGCGAACCCGTTGCAAACCTGGGCCAAAGCGATGGCCGGAAGAAACTCCCGTGTGGCGTGTGACCATGCTGGTCCCGGAAAACAACAACTATAGGTCCAAAGTCTGACCTGGACAGGTCCAGTCTCCTCATCCTGAAAGCCTCATGTTCGTACTGTTTTTCTTTTTGGTTTTTAAATTATCAACTCCAGTGGGGCCAGTTCCGGATAAGATAAGAGAGGCACCTTCCATGGGACGCCGATTGATCAGTTCCGGTGTTCAGCATCTCTCCATGGAGTGCGCCAGACCGCCAGTCCGAAGGAGAGGACACAAAAGCTTTGTGTGAAGAGGTTGACAGGAGTGCTTGGCATTAAAGGTTTGGAAGAAGGTTTCCTCTACAAAGTGCGCTAGGGTGGGTTGAGGAAGAAAGCGAGCTAGTACATCTTTTTACAGAGAAAAACTCCAAGACAACCCCTCTTTGGGGGCACGCTTTTTGTGCCATTACCATGCAGCACCAAAGACGGGGCCTAACTATCTTCTGAGGATGTGGGCAGGAGCCCTAAGGGAAGAAACAATACATTTTATGAGACTGGAATACTTTCCAAACTGTCCCCAATCAGGTCGTGTCTGAGCTCTGCAAAATACGTTATACATCCCAACAATACATGCTTTTGCTTACGCCCCCAAGCTCATTATGACAAGGTATGACAAGGTCGTTGTCTTTTAATTCATCTTGGGAGGTTTCTCTTGCGGTACTCATCTGGGTTTGCGTACATGTACATCTGGCGTCCACCCTCCCGGTCACGTCAAGGTCGCCGACGAGACAGTCCAAGACGACGCCCACCCTTCTACAACGTGAAGGTCTGTGTCCGAGACGGGCCTTCATTGAATTCCCTGGCACTTGAGGAGATACACCAAATGTGCTAGATGATGCAGATGTCTATCGATCAGCAAAAAGTGCCAAATGACTCATCATTGAGTATACATGTCATATTGATTTGCTTCTTAGACGGTCGGCGTTCTCCCAGCCACTTCACCAAGCCACGTCGGGGTGCGACCTTCAAACCGGTCTGCTGGAGCATCACACGCACCTGAAACATCTTGAAACGGACATCGAATAAGGTCACCCCTCATCTCTCTTGGTGTCTGGGACTCCAAGACCTATGCTCACCATGGCCAGACCACGACGTCACATCAATCAACGGCCGTTCCGCGGGCAGAGCCCCGGAGCCCATGCTTTTCCTCGTTAGCGGGTGAGCAGCGCCTTGTGGCCTCACCACTGGCTCTTGGACCCGAAGCAACACGTAGGATACGTGACGAGACCGCCCTAAAGGCCCCGGCGACCGTCGGTGTTTCTCGATCGGCCATGGTTTTGCTCCCTTTTAAAAGAACGCGAAGGGTCCGCCAGTATTCGTCCGCTGTTTCAAGTGGACGCTTTCTGAAGATGTCCTTGGAGGTAGTGCGTCAAGAAAGAATGAACATCATAGCATCATAAAGATCATTGGTCCAGGTTGTCAATTAATCAAGGTTTCAAAAAATAAGATCTTGTTTCAAAAAATGCCCTCTCGCAGAACAAACGGCTGTGGGGTCAACTCCCAACACCGGAATCGTGTGCCTTGGTACCAGCACTCAACACCCTCCCGCAGAAAACCGTCCCATCCAGGCAGGCACAGAGCGCTGTGGATGGTGTTTCTTCCCTCCCATCTAGGGGCTGTGGATGGCTCCAGGTGGCCGGGCGCAAGCGCCCTCTCCTCCATGGAGACGCACCCTGTCCGAAACGAACCTCTACGGAACTTCAGCCAAGCAAATCAATACCCCAGATCGGAGGGGTCTTAGATGGG